TTCGCGCTGAGCAGCGTGCTGGAGGACCTGGCCCGCGACCCTTTCTTGCCGGTGCAGGGCCAGCGCCACGCGCGCGCCACGGGCGCCGCGCTGTCGGTCGCCGCCGCGCTGGCGGGCGCGTGCCTGCCCGCCGGCGCCGGCTCCGCCCGCCTGCTCCTGCTGGTGGGCGGCCCGGGCACGCTGGGCGCCGGCGCGGTGGTCACCCCCGACCTCTCCGACCCCATCCGCAGCCACAAGGACCTGGCCAAGGACGCGGCGCCGCTGTCCGCGCCCGCGCGCCGCTTCTACGACGGCGTCGCCGCGCAGCTGGTGGCAGCGGGCCACGCGCTGGACGTGTACGCCTGCTCCCTGGACCAGGTGGGCCTGTACGAGATGAAGGCCGCGGTGGAGCTGACCGGCGGGCTCACCGTGCAGACCGACTCCTTCGCCAACCCCGTGTTCCGCGAGGCCCTGCGCCGCGCCTTTGCGCCGCCGGGCGAGCCGGGGCACCTGGGCCTGGGTTCCAACGCCACCCTGGAGGTGCGCTGCTCCAAGGACATCAAGGTGTGCGGGCTGCTGGGCCCTGCGGCCGCGGTGCCGGGCGACCGCAAGTCGCCCTGGCTCTCCGACACCCAGGTGGGCCAGGGCGGGGCCACCGCCTGGCGCACCTCCACCCTGGCCGCCGGGACCACGGTCGCCGTGGTGTACGACATCGTGGCGCCGCACGGCGCCGCGGGCGACGCCGGGTCGCCCCAGCTCTTCCTCCAGTTCATCACGCGGTACACGCACGAGTGCGGAGCGCCACGCACGCGCGTGACCACCGTCAGCCGCCGCTGGACCGATGGCGCCAACGTGGGGGAGCTCATGCAGGGCTTCGACCAGGAGGCCGCCGCCGTGCTGCTGGCGCGCCTGGCAGCCCACAAGATGGAGGCCGAGGACGACTTCGACGTCACGCGCTGGCTGGACCGGTCCCTCATCCGCCTATGCGCGCGCTTCGGCGACTACAGGTGGGTCCCAGGCGGGCAGGAGCGCCGAGCCCCGTGCGTGCCGGGGCGGGGCGGGGGGGGCGGGGCGCCTGGCCTGGGCCGCGCTGCGACCGGCGCTGCGAGGTCCCGGGTCTCGCGCCTCGGCCTGCCCGTGCGGCCAGCCCCCCGCTGTGCAGCCTGCCCTGCATGCACACCCCTTCCCCCTGACCCCACGTGTGCACACCAAAACCACGACAGGAAGGACGAGCCGGATTCATTCCAGCTGCGCCCGCAGCTGGCCTACTTCCCGCAGTTCGTCTTCAACTTCCGGCGCTCCCAGTTCTGCCAGGTGTTCGGAAACAGCCCCGACGAGACCGCCTTTGCGCGCCTGGCGCTGCAGCGCGAGACCGTGGGCGAGGGCGTGACCATGCTGCAGCCCCTGCTCTACTCCTACGCCATGGGCGCCGCGCCGGAGCCAGTGCTGCTGGACGTCTCCTCCATCGCCCCCGACCGGGTGCTCCTGCTGGACGCCTACTTCTACGTCGTCGTCTTCCACGGCACCACCGTGGCACAGTGGCGCAAGGCGGGGTACGCCGAGCAGCCCGAGTATGCCGCCTTCAAGGCGCTGCTGGAGGTGAGGGGTGCTGCATGGGGCTTTGTGGGGGGGAAAGGAGGGGCTGGGAGGGGAGTGGGAAGGGGGTGGAGGACGCAGGGCGAGGCGGCGGTGAGCTAGGGGCAGCTCGACCGTGCCATGACAGCCTGCGGCGTGGCCACACTGGGTCATGCCGGTTTGGCTTGAGACGCCTGCATGGGAGCGTGCAGTGCCATCCCTTA